TCATATAGCACCAGAAATTGATAAGGAATTTACAGTTTATTAAATTATGTAACACTATGTACTTTAAATTGATCATGGGCCCATATTTATTGACATGGAAAGAGTTACATTATTATTATGTGACTAAAGCAGTGTCATATAGATACTAAAGGTCAGAGCAGGGAGTAATGCACATTAAAAAACAAGAGTATTAGATAGAGGAAAAAATGATGCTTTAAAAACTATACCTGTATAGGTCATTTAATATTTTTTAAAAGTGTTAATTAAGGAGTGGTAAAGAATTTTTTTCCTTATCCTTATCTTTTATAGTTACTTTTAATCCCCTAATGATAAATATCTTCTGGAATTAGGACTCAGAAAAATTTTGCAGACCTCTTCATTTCACCCAAAAAGCTGAAGTTGCTCCTTGTCTGGGAAAAGTGCGTTGCATGTGTATACATCACCCATCAGAGTATCCGTTTCCGTGGTTTGATGGAGCTCAGGCACAATTCAACACAAGAACCTCTTCACACTTGCAGAGTAAAATGTCACTCCTAAGCAACTGAGAAGGTTCTATTATTTTCCTCTTAGAATTTCACATCCTGTCCAGCGTTCAGTGTATAGTAGAATCTTGACTCTTTGATTGGATAGGAAAAACTTTTCCTTCAAAGAGTTAAAAATAATGTCAATGAAGAAAACTCATAAGTGATACAATTTCCTGGTATTTGAGTGTTTTGTCACCAATTTCTGTGCCAGGTCCCATGTTCAGCTGTCTGGCAGTTCTTATGATATATGAAAATGCTTCCATTTTTATAGGAACATGCTGGCAAAAAAATCTACCACTTCCATGAATTATTAGTCCTTTTCTGCTAATTATTTTGAAAAAAAGCAGAGGTGCAGGTCCAAGTTCAAGCGGCTGTTAACGTCTGGGACATACTTGGTGTAGGACTATTCAGTTAGGAGAAAATCTGTGCCTTGTTTGACCACCGGTTTTCTAATTGCATTTTGAAACTTATAGGAAAAACTAAGTTACATTTTTTGTATTAGAAAGTGAGCAAGAAGTTGACTTTAAGTGATTGATGAAAGTAATCAGTGAGGAAACATAACAAAATGAGTAACTAACCTACAACATAAAGATAGAAATTTTTACAGTTTTGAATAACGTTTATGAAAAAATGAAATGACAAACCGAATGGGAGCTGTGGAAAACCCTCTAGTGTTGTAAAGACCCCAGGGTAATTTGTTTAAAAAAAAAATTACAAACCAGAGGCAGGGCTGGGAGAACTCAGCTGTCTGGTTTCAAGTAGCAGGCAAAGTCCTTCAGTTTTAAACCGCTGCTGCAGAAAAATCGGACAAAATAAAGAACAAGCAGGTCTACTCCACGTGTCTGGGGTACGAGTCTCAATGTTTTTGTGTGGACTGAGCTCCTTCGGGACGTGCTGTGTGTCTAACAAAATTCCCGCAGGAGTAGCTCACTAGTCCTGCTGATGGAGGAGGGCTGGATGCTGCAGAATCCCTGCTGTAGACACTTCATGCTTCTCAAGTTAATAACCAGACACACAAAACTTTATGGAGCTAAAAATAAAACATTTGGAATCTCGTATTATAGCCAGATTGTGGCAAGAGACAAATGATAGGAAAGACAAAAAGAAGAGGAAAAGGAAGAAGGATGGAGAGATGAGGACAGGACCCCATGCAGGATAAAGCAGTGAGGGAGGGAGTTAAATACAGTGCTGGGTCTGGGGTCTGCCCCCCTCAGCTTATCACCTGAAAGCAGGGAGTTAATAGTAGTACTGACCTCGCGGATTAAATGAACTAATATGTATGAAGTCGGCACCTAATGGGGTGTGAGTGTAACCTGTTGGGTTTTTAAAAATTGAGTTATAGTTGATTTACAATGTTGTGTTAGTTTCAAGTGCACAGGAAAGTGATTCCGTTATAGGTATACATACAGATACTCTTTCAGATTCTTTTCTCTTACAGGTTATTACAGAATATTGAGCAGAGTTCCCTGTGCTATATAGCAGGTCCTTGTTGGTTATCTATTCTATATACATTAGTGTGTATATGTTCATCTCAAACTCCTAATTTATCCCTCCCCCCTCACCTTTCCCCTTTGGTAACCAGTTTTTACAAGTGAAGAACTGCAATGCATTCTTTCTAACTACTTCATCTAAAATTGGATCGGAACCCCCCTCTTGTGAACTGTATCCATATCTCTGCTGTATTTTCCTTTCCTGTTGTTTTTGCTGTCCTTTGCTTTCACCTGAAGATGGTAATGTGTTCTAGACTGCTCCATATTATAAATCTCATTTTTAAAAGTGTTGAATCAAGGCAGTCTGCCAGCGACTTTGTTTTCCCTACTTTTCTCTCCGTGTTGGACTTTTCTGGCATAGGAGAATAATATTACTTTACCATGTAAAACATGGGGAATGGCTTTAAAAGAATTCCCCAGCAACTGAATAATGGGCTGTCAAAAATATGCTTGGTGCCAAAGGATCTGGACACGTCTGTTCCATTTATTGTGTGTTTCTCGTTCCCTCGTGACTAAGTGCTCACAAAAGACACAAAAGCCCAAACCTCTGGAGTATGTGGTGTTTGAGGGAAGAAACCATATTTTCATATATTCAGTCCCATACCTAACATTAAGGTGCTTAGTAGGGGATCACCAGCAGACAATGATGAGCATCTATGGTATGTAGGATGCTCAAATTACTAATTAAGTTGACTTCTAGTGATGAAGAAAAGTGTGTTCCCCCATCTCCACTGTGCTTAGTTGAGTGGGTTAATCTTTATTTTAAGGAGCACTAGAAGTCTTGCCCCTGAAACTTTTGCCTTACTCTACCCTTTTTGAGTAAGTTTATTTTTCTCAGAAATATGAAACTGATTTCTTACTTAAATTTCCATGTTTTAAAAGCCTGATAGTACAATAGAGCAAAGTCACTTATTTTTATTTTACTTTGATAATAAATTGAGTTTATTTTTAAAAAATCAATATAGGAATGCACTGAGAATATCTAGGGGGAGAAAATGGAAATGTGGAAAAATTTAAAAGGTGGCTTGTTTCTCAATGAAAGCAAGGGAAGTCAAGGAGAATAGCATCGGAACGCCTCCCTACCCCAGCTCCCACTGCGACCCTCTCCGCTGGGTCCAGCACAGACTGTCTGCTTCTCACTCGGCACAAGGTTCTTCATCTCTCCCACCTGAGTCTCGGCCAGGCTGTTGCCAGCTGCCCTGGAATTCAGCGTGGTTTCTGATTCAGGTTATAATTTTTGACCAGCATCTTAATGGCTAGTGTCTCAAGGGCAGGATAACTGTTGTCCAAGAATTCCTGAGCTGGGGAATCTCCACTGTCTAGCATGTGACTCACAGGACACAGGACATTCTTATGGGGCCCACTCCCCCAGGCCAGGGGCCACGAGAAATTCCTGGACTGCTTAACGAAAATTCCATGGCTTTCCTCCTACTCAGCAAAGCCTGTTGGAATTCAGTTGGGCAAGAGTAACTTCATCTGAGGAGATAAATCTGAATCTGCTTTAAATTGTGTGTGGATGCAGGTGTGTATAGTTCAGATACCAAGTTTAGCCTTGCATCATTTATAGCAGTTATTGAAAATGCTCCATCATAACGAAGTAGTATGAACTCAGGTCCCTTAGTGAGACCCCACATTCATGCCCGCTTAGACTAGCTTGGAAACCATCCTGTCTAATGCCCGGGAGGCACTGAGTGGCCACCTGAGAATAAAGTGCTGGAGGCAGAGTTCTCTAGAAAGAAACCTAAATGCCCTCCTGATTTATTTTGACTTGAGGAAAAGAAGCAGCATAACTTCTTAGCTGCCTCTGGAGACCCAGTGCTGAACATACCACTTCCTATTTGTAGGACCAAATTGTATGGAAAGGTGGTGATTATCTTCTGTGATTATTAAAGCAACTAGTACATGACACAGCTCATGGAATTAAGTCTGGGGGTTGAGCAGAGGTGATAACTCAAACAGTTACTGAAGTCAAATTATTGTTGCTCCTGACAGTGCATTGGGAAAATGTGAAAGTGTGGCTGAGCAGAACCCTTGTTGTTCTTCAGCTGCTAATTTGTATCTGATTCTTTGTGACCCCATGGATTGCAGCACGCCAGGCTTCCCTGTCCTTCACCACCTCCCAGAGTTTGCTCAAACTCATATCTTTTGAGTCAGTGATGCCATCCAAACATCTCATCCTCTGTCATCCCCTTCTTCTCCTGCCCTCATTCTTTCCCAGCATCAGGATCTTTTCCAGTGAGTTGGCTCTTTGCATCAGGTGGCCAAAGTATTGGAGCTTCATTAGTCCTTCCAAAGAATATTCAGGGTTGATTTCCTTTAGCAGAACCCTGAACTCTTATAAATGCAGACTTCTTATTAACATGGTCTTTGATTAAAATGAGCATTTTTCTTTATATAAAGTACTCAGAAAATAGTCACGCATATAGTGTAAGGAGAAACATGGAAAAATAACAGAAAATCATGTTTATACCCATCTTTTCTTTTGGGGACTTGGATACCCTTCAGATCATGTCATTGGAAACAGCACTTTTGCATTCAGGAGACTTCTGATTAAAATGTTTAGCTTTAAAAATAAACATAAATCCTGTGCTTCAGTGTTGAGGAGGTAAAGTCATGATGTCCAGTGAATTGGAACATCAGAGCGTCCTCCAGCTTTCCAAATGCCGCACGAATTTAGAAGTTGAATTTTGTAGAGTACAGCTTGTAATGTGCTACTATTTCATTATTTTTAACAGGAGAGTATTACTCATTTTTCTGCTCAGGACACATGTAGACTTGGAGAGGTTGAATAATGGGCAACCATGTCAGCAGTGGAAGGGGTGGGTGTTGTCCATGGCAGGGGTTGCTCACCCAGACTGGTCTCTGAGAGGGAAGACAGTCACCCCACTTACATGTATCAGTACAAGCAAATCTCTATCAGGCTGTGTAACTGGGCAGAACTGAGTCTTTGATGTGCATTGATTGTGTCCCTTCCTCCCCATTGCAGGCTCAACCTGGGAGAAGACTTTCCGACAGATCGGCTTCGAAAGGTGAGCTGGGTTCAGTTACTCATGACCCGTTTTATTCCAGCAGTTCACTGATTATCCATTGGTGGTCTCACGACCACTACTTCAGTGACCATGCCCTTGAGTAAGTCGTCATTTTTGAGCCTCGGTCTCCTTGTAAAGTAAACCTTTGATTTATACCATGCTTGCCTGCACACAGATTGAAATTGATGACTAAATGGGGCAATTTATGTGAAAATGCTTCTTCTACTGTGAAACAGTGTGAAAGATAAGTTGTAGAACTAGGGCATTGCAGGGAAGAGAGTTGACTCTCTTATTGCTTCCTGATGTCATATGTTATATTCAGTTCTATAGGTTTAGTACAGAGAAATTTATATTTATATTGATATCTTCCTGATTATTAAAATTATGTGATCTTATCTGCTCCAAGTGAAAGGCTGAGATCATGTCACTCATAGCTAAAAGCATTTCTGCACCAGCATTTCCTGAAAAGAAAAAAAAATTGACTCATGATAACATCAGAAAATGTGCAGGTAGGGTCAGTATAGCCCTAATGACACCATATGGGCAATTGAACATCTCACAGTGAACTTGCAGCATCGAAACAGCTATTGAGACAGAAAAGTAATTAAATTTTTTTTTTGCTCTAAAGGTAGATTTTGACTAATTCTTTACAACATAATAGCATTTTTGCATTCAAAAGACTTCTTACTAAAATCTTTAGCTTAAAAAATAAATGTAAATCCTGTGCCTTGAGGAGGTGAAGCCATGGTGTCCAGTGATTGGAATGTCAATGGCCCTCTAGCTTTCCAAACACCACATGAAGTTAAGAGTTGAATTTTGGAGAGTACAGCTTACAGTGTGCTATGATTTCATTACATTTAACAGTAGAGTATTACTCATTTTTCAAAATGTGTCTTTATGTGTATCAATCAAGCTGATGGAGTGCTTCAGCATATGAAAAGAGTAATAAAATACCTTAAAATGCATTATTTCTCCAGTAGTGAGGAAGAACAGATATTTCATCACCAGGCTGACTGTGATGGCATTTCTGGTACCATTTGTAATTGACTCAAGAGTCTGTTTATTTCTCTGCGTGCTCATCCATGCCATCAGCGCAGTCACTGTCGATCTCTCAGTGAGTTCTCATGGTTGGTCCTTGAGGTTATTGGATGATGTTGGTTTGGGGCGGGCAGATCTGGTGGATCAGCTTTCAGGCTGAAAATCACATGCAGCTTTGTGTGTGTGAGACCTTCCCCAAAGCATCTTTCTCTTGATTCTTCTTTTGTGTATCGAAAAATGTCAAAGATAACCAAAGAAGCTGTTGTTTTAGTCTCTAAGTCATGTCCGACTCTTTGTGATCCCATGGACCATAGCCTGCCACCCCCCTTCTGTCCATGGGATTTCCCAGGAAAGAATGTTGGAGTGGGTAGCCATTCCCTTCTCCAGGGGATCTTCCTGACCCAGAGATCGAACCCACGTCTCTTGCATTGGCAGGCAGGTACCACTGGACCACCAGGGAAGCCCACTTGTTTGTTCACTCTATCCCTAAATCAAGGTTTATTGTAAACTTACAGAAGTCTTTCAAGACCCAAAGTCTTGTCAAAGGAGAGAGGATAGCAAATTGAACATCAGTTATTTGTCTCCTGGCTTCAGGAAGAAATTGCTATACTTGCTTTGTCCACTTTTAGGGTTGGATGGGACTGAAATATTGCAAACAGAACCTCAGATACTGTGTCATCACCCCTACCTAAGTCAGTGTATGTCTGTGAAAAAATGGATGTTCTCTTGCAGAATCATGATGCTGTACTGGTACCGAATACAAGTACCAGCCAATTCTTAGCACCATCTAATACCGATCAGTGCATACACTTCCTGATCATCTCAAAAGTGTTGTCTTACAGACACTGGTTGAATCAGCATCCTCCTAAAGCCCACACTTACTATTAAATTTTTTTTCAGCTTTAAAAATTAAAAAAATTTTTTACTGAGTTATAATTAACATATAATATTATATTAGTTTTAGCTGTATAACATATTGATTTGATATTTTTATATGTCATGAAATGATCACCACTGTGTGACCAGTTACCACTGTCACCACCGATTCTGTTCTGTTGCCACATCTCCACCTCTGTATTGAGATTGTGTCCCCGAGGCTTTCCCACCTTCGTTGGGTTTCTCTTCCTATTACTAGCTTCTGAGGAAACCAGCTCCTCCGTCTTGCAGCACCGCTGTCTTGTCTGGAGTGTCTGTTTGTGGCTTTGTTTACCTTGTCAGTCTACCCTCTGATTCACATAAACTCAAATCGCTCCTCTTTGGCCACTGGGGACAGCTTCATGGTGACTTGTTATCCTTTGTCGATGGCCACCTGGTCTTTTCTCATTTCTGTCCTTCTAGCACAGTGGGAGTTACCAAGCCCATCTAGGATTCTGAACCTGGCATCCGCCATCTGTCCTGAGGGTGGACATTTAGGCATTTTCCAGCCTTTGGCTTTTGTAATGAACAACCTTGTGCATGCCTGTATTTTTGCCAGGTATTCTAGGGATAGATTCCTGAGTACAATCAAAGAGTAAATTTTTGTGGAATTTTGATGAACATTGCCAAGTTTCCCTAAAATTTTGGCAGCAGCTTTGGCAATTATTTCCCCAGAGCCTCACCAACAGAAAGTGCTGTCACACTCGAGGTTTTTTGCCAGCCTGATGGGTGAGAAATGGTAGCTTGGTGTCCTTCTAATCCACATTAATCCTGAGTCATTTTTCCATACAGTGGAGTTCAGGCTGAGATTCTTTGCCATTTCCTGAGCGGAAGTCTAAGAGCAAGAGCTTCTTCTAAGATGGTTAAGGATTCATTGATTTGCAGGATTCGGCAATTGAAACATTTTCTTTCTAGTTTGCGTGACCTTAACCTTTTGCCTACTTGAATAATGATGTAATGACAACAATTGTCATGTACCAAGGACTCCGTCGCATCATTTTCAGTCTGTACAGCAGTCCCACAGACCAGGGATTGGCAAACTTTTTCTAAAGAGGGAGAGGCCACATTTCAGGTTCCATAGGCCATACACTTTGTGTGGTAGCAGAAGGCAATGAGCACGCTTTCTTCCAATAAAACTTTATTTAGAAAAAACAGGAATCTGGCAGGACTGGCTGCTGGCCAGCCTTTGTGACCCCATCTCACAGGTAAAGAAACCTAAAGAAAACCAAGCAGCTACCCAGAGAGCTGTAGCCACACACATTGACCTGTGTTCAAGAGAAGGTCTGCCTGGCTTTCTATATCCAGCCACACTGAATGCTTGAATTGTAGCCTTTTTTTGGTTTTGTGTTGTTTATTTTTTGTATCCTTGTAGTTCTGGGAACATTGTCTTTAGTCTCAAGTCTTATCAGCTGTTCTCATTTTATGAATATTTTGAAGAAAGCCAGGGAGTAAAATTTGCTTATCATAATGCCTCTCTAAATGGATATTCTTCTGAATAGATGTATACGTTAAAATATTATTAAGGGATATATTGAGTGAAAGGCTGTATTTTTGAACTGTAGTCTAAGTTTGGTGAACATCCCTAGTTTTAGATGTTATCTTAAAACATCACCCTTTGTTTTCCTGTGTTGTCACATGTTTTCTCATGTAAGGGCAGGAGTTGTCTCTGCCCTGTATCAAGTGTCATGAAATACAGAATAGATATTGATAGATGGGGTTACTGTGCATTAAAGACCGTGTCATGCAGTGCTGTTAAACATGGCCTTGCTTGATTTCTTCTCAAGTTTAACACCATCTTTCTCTTCAAGGGAATTCCAGTTATATCCTAAATGAAGCTGTCTGGCCCTTTAGAGCCATTGTGAGAGATATTGATCCTTTTAGTGCTGTGTCCTTTGAAGTTTGCCCATCAGTCTGTTTGCTAACAGAGTATTTCAAAGTGGTCACATCTAAAAAAAAAAAAGTGACTGAGTCAGCCAAACCGCAAAGCTTTCTCCAGGAAAAAGAAAGCCAAGTTGTCCTCTGCTGTACATTCTATGATGGGGAGCGAGGAGGGGACCTAGGGAGTGAGCCTGCCCTTTTAGTAATATTGCCGTGAGATGCATCCTGATGAGCAAATAAAAGATCAGATAGAGGGAAACATGTAAGGACCTGATTCTGTGGCAGCAGCGTCCGGGAGCTTAGCAGATGTCTGAAAACTGTGTTTCATTGGTTTCCCCCTTTCCTGCCTGTGGTTCCTTCAGGACAATGGCAGCTGCTGGTACCCAACAACCCCACCTCCTCCCAAACCTCCCCAGCCCCACAGCCACCACCCTCAGGCTCCCTCCTCTGTCTTCCAGCACCTCCTGTCACGAAGCCACCAAATGTGTTCATGATCTTGTGTGGACTTACTGTGTGTCATTCTAGACCCTTGCTGCTGAGATGTACGTCTTTTCATTTTACACCTGCTAGTGCCAGCCCAAGGGTTGTCCAGTGATAGGCATTCAATAAATGTTTCATAAACAAGCATTTTATGAGGGCACTAATCCCATTCACTGGGTCTCCACACTCATGACCTGATCACTTCCCAAAGACCCTCATATTTTGATACTGTCTCATTGAGGGGTTAGAATTTCAGTAGGTGAATTTTGAGAGAACAAAAACATTTAGTCCATAACACATGTCACTAAGTCCCATACAATTGAAAGAAAAGTTAGATCTTATGTTTGAGACTTTTATATCCTGTGATATCATATAATCAATTTCATTGGACTTTACTCATGCAGCTGGTTAATTTTGCTGTTTTCCTTGACTGGCCAAAATACCTTGGTTATTCTTGAAATGGAAAGTAAAACCTATGATTAATATATTCACATATGTGTGTGTGTCTGTGTGTGTGTTTCTGTGTGTATGTGTGTGCATAAGTATATATGTGTGTATATTGTGTGTATGTGTATAATAAAAGTAGGTGATATCCATTTCTTAGGCTGTTGAGAGCTTTACCTAAGACTTTGACTTCCAACTTGGAAAGGAACTTTTTTTATTCAAGCACAATGACATCATTTACTAAG